CTGGGAGAACCGGGTTCGATTCCCCACTCCGCCACATGCAGCTGCTGGATGACCTTGGGCAAGCCATAGTTCTGGCACAGCTGTTCTTGAAAACCTCACCGACCTCACAGGGTGTCTGTTATGGGGAGGGGAAGGGAACGGAGTTTGTAAGCTTCTCTGAAGGCTCCTTTGAGTAGTGAAGGGCCGGGTATAAATCCAGTCTCCTCCTCTTCTTATGCAGGAGCCTTAATGCCAGTAGCTCACAGAGTACAATACGGCCCCATCTTGGATTGATAAGAGCTTACTATCTAGAGCACTGGCACTTTGTTTGTGATGGATTGTTTTATTCCGTTTTTAGTTTTTAAATCATGGCATATGCCTCTCCTGTTAGCCGCCCTGAGCCCGTTTGGGGAGGGCAGGGTATAAATTTAATAGATAAATGCAATTTTTGCTCACAAGACTCCACAGCTTAGAGGGAGCATTGGGATAGGAACATAACAGGGGCTCTGCTGGATCAGGCCAGTGGTCTACCTAGTCCAGCATCCTGTTGCCCACAATGGCTAATCAGTTCCTCTAGAGGTACAACAACAGGGCACAGAAGCCTTCTCCCGATTTTGCCTCCTGGCACTGGGAGTCGGAAACTGCCTGCCTCTGAATACGGAGGTTGCCGTTAGTTACCATGGCCTGTAAGCCCCTGATAGGCCTGTCCTCCATGATTGTGTCTAAACTGGCTTTCGAGCAAGGGAACCTTTACCTTTACCTTTTTATGCCTGTGGCCATCACTACATCCCCTGGCAGGGAATTCCACATTTCAATCACTCACTGTATAAAGAGGCATTTAATTTCGTCCGTCCTGCATCTACTGCCCGTCAGCAGCACTGGATACCCTCGAATTCTAGCATTTGGGGAGAGGGAGAAAGAAGTTCTCTCTTGTCAGCTTTCTCCACGCCATGCATAATTTCATAAACCTCTTATCATTTAATCTTCTCTCAATCCCCCGCACGGCTGTTTTGTAGTATCTCTCAGACGCTGCATTCCTCTACGTGTCACTTTGCTAGTTGGAAAGCGGAATTATCGAACACAGTCGTGGAGGGGACTGTTACCTCGAAACAGAGTAAAGAAAAAGGTGCAGTCGAGTCCCAACTGATTCATGGTGACCCCATCCACAGTGCGTCCCAGGCAAGAGATGAGCCACTGGATACCCTCGAATTCTAGCATTTGGGGAGAGGGAGAAAAAAGTTCTCTCTTGTCAGCTTTCTCCACGCCATGCATAATTTCATAAACCTCTTATCATTTAATCTTCTCTCAATCCCCCGCAAGGCTGTTTTGTAGTATCTTTCAGACGCTCCATTCCTCCACGTGTCACTTTGCTAGTTGCAAAGCGGAGGATCGAACACCGTCGTGGATGAGACTGTTACCTCGAAACAGAGCGAAGAAAAAGGTGCCGTCGAGTCACAACTGATTAATGGTGACCCCATCCACAGTGCGTAAGAGATGAGCAGAGGTGGTTTGCCATTGCCTTTCCCTGCGTACCAACCCCCGTCTTCCTTGGTGGTCTTTCCACCCAAGTAAAGAAGAGACTGGATGTATACCCCGCCCTTCATTTGGAATCTCAGAGCATCTTACAATCTCCTTTCCCTTTCCCTCCCCACAACAGACACCCTGGGAGGTAGGTGGGGCTGAGAGAGCTCTTTCGAGGACTGCTCCTGAGAGAACAGCTCTGAGAGAACTTGGGACTGACCCAAGGTCACACCAGCAGCTGAACGTGGAGGAGTGGGGGATCAACACTGGTTCTCCCAGATTAGAGTCCACACTCCTAACCACGACACCAAACTGACGATGGCAGAGCCCCCGCTTTGCTGATTCAAATACGACCTCTTGCATAGCCTGCAGCTCCCTTAATGGTGCGGGTGCCCATGGGGGAAATATTAACTACACATGCTTAGTTAGCACACTGCAAGGACAAAACCTCTCTCTGGTGTGCAAACAAAGTACAAGCCGTTGCTTTGAACGTGCATCGTTTCCATGAGATGGGGAGCCCGCGCAGAACGTTTTGCCTGGCACTGAAATCAAGCCTGACTTTTGGGAAGGTCCCCCAACGAATTCGGAAGACTCCTGACAAGAGAAATATGGTGATGGCAGAAGAGAGATTTGAGAGCAGTGTCCCCTCTAAGCTGAGTTAGTGTGAGCTTGTTGCTGTTCAGTCACACGGTTGAGTCCGACTCCTCGCGACCCCATGGACCACATCACGCCAGGTCCTCCTGTCCTCCGTTGTTTGCTTAATTTCATGCTCGTTGCATCGAGAACCAATCTCCTTTCCCTTTCCCTCCCCACAACAGACACCCTGGGAGGTAGGTGGGGCTGAGAGAGCTCTTTCGAGGACTGCTCCTGAGAGAACAGCTCTGAGAGAACTTGGGACTGACCCAAGGTCACACCAGCAGCTGAACGTGGAGGAGTGGGGGATCAACACTGGTTCTCCCAGATTAGAGTCCACACTCCTAACCACGACACCAAACTGACGATGGCAGAGCCCCCGCTTTGCTGATTCAAATACGACCTCTTGCATTGCCTGCAGCTCCCTTAATGGTGCGGGTGCCCATGGGGGAAATATTAACTACACATGCTTAGTTAGCACACTGCAAGGACAAAAGCTCTCTCTGGTGTGCAAACAAAGTACAAGCCGTTGCTTTGAACGCGCATCGTTTCCATGAGATGGGGAGCCCGCGCAGAACTTTTTGCCTGGCGTTTAAATCAAGGCTGACTTTTGGAAAGGTCCCCCAATGAATTCGGAAAACTCCTGACTTAAGAGAAATATGGGGATGGCAGAAGAGAGATCTGAGAGCAGTGTTCCCTCTAAGCTGAGTTAGTGTGAGCTTGTTGCTGTTCAGTCGCACGGTCGAGTCCGACTCCTCGCAACCCCACGGACCGGGTAGTGAAGGGCGGGGTATAAATCCAATCTCTTCTTCTGTGAGGTAGGTGGGGTTGAGAGAGCTCTGAGACAGCTGTGACAGACCCAAGGTCACCCAGCTGTCTCCATGTGGAGAGTGGGGAACCAAACCCGGTTCTCCCAGATTAGAGTCCGCCGCTCTTGACCACGACACCAAACTGGCTCTCAAGTTTCGTCCTCAAACAGAGGACATATCAGTTATTAAACTGAGATATGACACTTGATCTTAGCCAAAAGGCCGAGAAGCGAGAATTTAGCACAGTGCATTTCTGTCAAAGAACTGGCGTCACACATAAACAGGCAAGACAAATGGTACATTGAGAGCCTCTTGGAAAAACAGAAAACAAGTTTGGATTGTTATACTTAAAGAGAGAGGGAAACTTGGCCGAAGGGCTAATCTTTCATATTTTATTATCATATTTTACCCTCAGCCGTAAGCGTACAGACAATTAGGCGACCCCCCCCCAATGTAGCCAATCCTCCAAGAGCTTACAGAGCTTTTCTTACAGGGGTTACTGCTTGGGGGATTGGCTACATTACGGGTGTGTCGTCACCTAATATGCAAAGGAGTCCCTGCTGCAAAAAGAGCCCTGCTGGCAGTGAAGCTTAATATACACGAGCTGAAAAGGATATAAGAGTTTCACTTGGCTGCTTTAGTTTTCTTACTTAAATTATTTCTAAGTTGAGGAGGCCATTTCAAATGCCGCTTTTTGGAAGGTGGGTAGATATATATATTTAAAAAATAAATATAAATAAGTGAACAAATCAGGGCTCTTTTTGTAGAAAAAACCCAGCAGGAACTCATTAGCATAATAGGCCACACCCAACAGCATGAACTCATTAGCATATTGGGCCACACCCCTGACAGCACAGCTCATTAGCACATTAGGCCGCACCCCCATGTTACCAGAAGTGTGCTCATCCAGCCACACCCACCTTTAGCTTCTTATTCTGTTTACCTTGTTTGTTGTCAAAACCCAGGGCCTTTTTTTGTAGCAGGAACTCCTTTGCATGTTAGGCCACACACCCCTAATGTAGCCAATCCTAATGAGTTTCTGCTGTTGGGTGTGGCCTATTATGCTAATGAGTTCCTGCTAGGCGTGGCCAACTTGGGAGCCAGCCGGAACTCTGTTCCTGTGCGTTCCTGCCCCCAAAATAGCCCTGATAATCCAGGTGTTGGTCTGTTGGTCTTGAAGCAGCAGAAGAAAGTTGGAGTCCAGTCAGGCACCTGTAAGACCAGCAAAGTTTTAGGCTGGGTATAAGCTTCCGTGTGCAAGGCACACTTCTTCAGATACGTGCGTGCACACAAAAGCTTATACCCAGAATAAAACTTCGTAGGTCTCAGAGGTGCCACAGGACTCAAATAATCATCCAGTATTTTTCTTCAGCATGGGTTAAGCCACACGCTGAGGGAACGATACAACCTTCTCAAATCTTGAATCTTAAGTGGAACATTTAAAAATAATAATAACTTCTCTGAAGTTCACTGACACTCTTGAGAGCCAATGCCCTCGGCCATCATGTAAAAATGACAACATCGATTTATACAAATCAAACTGAGGGAGTTTGTTTTAAGAAAATCTCACATTGTTCTCAGAACAGACTTAAGTCAAGACTCATTTGGCAACTAATTTTTTTTCTCTCCATCTGGGCTGGCAAAAAAACACAGAAAATAAAAGAGTTCTGGACGAGGCGTGTGTTCACCCCTGAACCGATATTAGCTTGGATTCCTTTAGAAAATCACAGCTGCTTCCCCCCCCCCGCCCCATATTGTCAGTAAAAAATGAAGTCCCGCTTATTTGACTTTCTGTTTCTTCCTTGCTTGAAACTGTTCGGTTTTATTCTTCACCGATTTTACCAGCATCGATAACGCAGGATCGACAGACTTCTTAGCGACTGTTTCCTTCTCCGCCACACTCTCTCCGACCTCCGCCGCCTCCACGTTCCCCTGCTGTCTTCGACGAGCTTTCTCTTCCAGAATCTTTTCCACTGCTTTTGTTTTCTTAAAGTTTGGATCGGAAGGATCCAGATTAAACAGATGGGAAGTATACATGGCTTGGAACCTGGCGTCAGCAACATTTACCTAGGAACAGTACAAGAATAAAGGGTTATTGTTCATTGTTGCATTTTTTTAGAAAGGGGGAAAAACTAGAGGGGTGTCAAATTCATTTCTTATGAGGGCCGAATCTGACATAAATGAGACCTTGTTGGGCCAGGCCACGTGTGTCATAAAATGTAATGCCAGGTAGTGGAGATATAAACTTTATAAAGGACCCAAACACAAGGATTATTTTTTTAACTTAAAATAAAAACATGCTCAAAACATTAGCTCTGTAAGCTGCAAACCTACTTTTGATTTATTGACATTCACCACAGAAATCTCAGGCTCAGAGTTGTGAGTCCAGGACCCAGGGGAAAACATGAAATGGCTGAGCGATTGAGAGAGTCTGGCGAAGCAAGCTATGATGCAGCAGCAGCAGCAGAACTGGAAGCAGGAGACGGCCAGTTCCACCATGGGCCTGATGGAAGCCCTCCGGGGGCCTGATCCGGCCCCCTGGGCCGCTTGTTTGACATCCCACAATTAGACAATGTTGACCTTAACAACATATATAAAATGCAACCGCCTCCATCTTGGGGTAGCAGTTTCCAGCCAGGTGAAGTTCAGTTAAAATAAAGCACAGTATCAATACATGATGATACTAATTCGTTAGTAGATAGAAAATTATCAGTGCTCCCTCTAAGCTGTAGAGTCTTGTGAGTAAAAATTCTACTTTGTGAGCTACTGGCATTAAAGTTGTGCGTGAGCAATTTGGCTACTGCATAAATTAGTTTGCTCTGGAGCCCTCCTGCCTGAGCTAAGACAAAAATGTGTGAGCTGGAGGCTAAAAAACTCTGAGCCAGCTCACACTAACTTAGCTTAGAGGGAACACTGGTGTCAATTATGTTGGAACTTCTTCATTCTTTACCTACTTGGAGGAAATTGCAGTGTAGGAAACAACAGCACTCACATTTTCATAGACGAAATATGCGCTTATTTTGCTGCGTGTTGGCTCCAAACGCACAGACTCGCAGAAAAACAAACATTTGTACCAGCACTTCGTACACGACTGTTGACATTCTTATTCCTAATAGGAAACTGGCTGGCAAGTATGTGGATGATAAAAGCAGCAAGATCAGACTGCCCCCAAGCAAGACAGAAACCTCTACGTATATATATATTTTTTGGGGGAGGGAATTCCCCAAGTATGCAGGACAATGAAACTTTGTGAATTTGCCAGAAAGGGGGGGACCTCCCAAAACTGGTCTTACAATATCTGAATATGCTTCAGGAGCACGGGACGATGAGCGTCGGTTCAAAGGAAGAAAACAGAGGAAGGAAAATTAGTTTGCTCAAGCCCCGAAGAGTTTAGAAAAAAATTGGGGGGGGGGAGCCCATATTATCCCCCACACGCAATTCCCCAAGGCTCAGTTCAGATATCCCATGAAACTATGGTTAAAACAGGATCCCCCAACCAAAGTTCCCTCTAAGCTGTGGAGTCTTGTGAGCAAAAATCCTACTTTGTGAGTGACTGGCATTAAAGTTGTGAGTGAGCCATTTGGCTACTGCATAAATTAGTTTGCTCTGGAGCCATCCTTCCTGGGCTAAGACAAAAATGTGTGAGCCGGAGGCTAAAAAACTGTGAGCTGCCTCAGTCTAACTCAGCTTAGAGGGAACACTGCCCCCAACCTTTTTAAGCCTGTAACGGCCTTTGGAATTCGAACACAGCAAGACACAATGTGCTTGCCTCAAAATGGCGGCTGCTGCAGGAGGCGGTGCCAGCCACAAAATGGCTGCCGTGGCTTCCCTCCAACCGCACAGTGAATACCCTTGCCCTCTGAGGTGGCTGCCGCCGCCACCAAAGCAATGTTGTTAAAAATCTGCACGGCCTATCAACTCTCCAGCGGCCAATCGGAAGCTCTGTTGGCTGAAAGGCCCACGGGGCCACATCCACTTTCTAAAAACACAGGGCGGGTGCTGGGAAAGCTGTGTCTGCAGACACCATGGAACCCGCGCTGGTCCTGCTGACGCCAGACAAATTTCAGAGGGACTCAGTGGGAGGAAGAAGAGGAAAATCTTGACAGTGAAATGCACTAGATACAGAACGTTAAGTTTAAGCTTTCCTAGCCCTGACCTGGATGGCCCAGGCAAGCCCGATCTCGTCAGATCTCGGAAGCTAAGCACGGCCAACCCTGGCAAGTATTTGGAAGGGAGACCTCCAAGGAATACCAGGGCCGGGAAGGCAGAGGCAGGCTGTCGAGCCATTTCTCTGACTATCCTCCATGCCCCTGTAGGGGTCGCCAGAGGTTGCCATGACTTCCAGGCACGGCTGCACACGCACGACAATGCAAAAAATTACCAAAAAAAAAAAGTTTTAACTTTCCCAATCTGGCGGTGCGAAATGCCTGCGGAATCATAATCCGGAATTCAGTCCTTTAGCTGCCCCTCCCCCCTTGACTAAAGAATGACCCAAAAAGGGTGTTTCTGCACATATGATCACCAGTCCTCCCTCTGAGCTGTGGAGCCCTGTGAGCAAAAATTCTACTTTGTGAGCAACTGGCATTGAAGTTGTGAGCGAGCGATTTGGCTGCTGCGTAGACTAGCTTGCTCTGGAGCCCTCCTTCCTAAGATTAAAATGGGTGAGCCGGAGGCTAACGAACTGTGAGCTAGCTCACACTGACTCAGCTTAGAGGGAACACTGACTGGCATGAAAGTTGTGAGCGAGCGCTTTGGCTGCGGCATAAATTAGTTTGCTCTGGAGCCCTCCTTCCTGAGCCTAAGGCAAAAATGGGTGAGCCGGCGGCTAAAAAACTGTGAGCCGGCTCTCACTGACTCAGCTTAGAGGGAACACTAGTGATCACACAAGTTACTGATCCATTAACTAAAAACGACCGGCCTCTTTCGCTGCATTCCGGGACGCGGGACCCCGCGGCGTTACCTGGAAGTCATCCGTCAGCAGTTCCTCCTTCTTCATTAACAGCTTCCTCTTCTTCTTGCTCAGGTTCTGCTGCTGCACGATCCTGTCGTAGTTGAAGTGGCTCCTCCCGTCCTCCTCCTCCCCCTCGTCCATCAGCAGCAGAGCCATTTCGGCCTGTGGCGATCAGAAAGAGACAGGATTCGGTTGGCGCAACGTTTCGCGGGGTATGGGCTGCAGATGTTGCCCATGTCCCCGGTCCGAGGACCGTGTTATTAACGCGCAACAGGGACTGCTACGATGGGACTATCTGTTTACAGAACTTTTTCATTGGCAAGGATGAGACCGCTTCATTGGGCTGCGCGGGGAATTAAGGACACAACTCTCATCGAGGCTGGGCCAACAATTCTTAGGCTGGTCTCTGCGATTTTAGTATATTTTCGTATCTTTCTTCCTTTCTACATCGGGCTGTCAGGTCATTTTCGGTTCGAGACACTGCTGAGGTTGGGAGATGTGCCTAATTTTAACAATGGTGTCATGCTCCCCTGAGGCAGTTCTCGGAACGCAAAGGAGGGCGCACGGCTCTGACACATGTTAAAGGTTGTGTGTGACCCAGATGGTGGCATTGCTCTGGGTCGGAACGTAACAGGGGGGGGATCCAGTTACAGGCCAGGACTAGTCCCTCTGACTCACAGCGTGTGGAGGCCACGTGCCGGGGGAGCAGCTGGAACCACCCCAGACATCACATGTGTAATGGTAAGTATCGTTAGTATTCCGGCAGGGTAGCAATTAAGAACACAAGAGAAGCCCTGTTGGGTCAGGCCAAAGGCCCATCCAGGCCAACGAGGGAGGGTAAGTTGCTTCCTCCCTGCCTCTCCCCACCCCTGCCTGCCTGGGGCCAGGGAGGGCCTTCGCGGGGCTTCCTTGCACTCCCGCCAGCCTTGCAGGTCCACCGCCGGGCCCCTCGTGGGGCTCGGCAGTGGAGCTGCAAGGCCGGAGGTGGCAGCCGGGACCGTTGGGGGCGGGGTGTGTGGCTTTATGACACATTTCCGGTGATGTCAGGGGGTGTGGCCTTATGACACACTTCTGGTGATGTCAGGGGGTGTGGCATATGCTAATGAGTTATGCTAATGAGTTATGCTAATGAGTTCCCCTAGCTCTTTTTCTACGAAATGACCCCTGCCTCCCACTCTTACCCCCCAAGCACGAAGAAGACGGAGCATCACTGCCGCAGACATAAGAACATAAGAGAAGCCATGTTGGGTCAGGCCAATGGCCCATCCAGTCCTACACTCTGTGTCACACAGTGGCCAAAACCCAGGGGCCATCAGGAGGTCCACCAGAGGGGCCAGAACTCCAGAAGCCCTTTCAGTCTTGCCCCACAAGCACCAAGAATACACAGCATCACCACTCCACGCATAAGAACGTAAGAGAAGCCATGTTGGATCAGGCCAAAGGCCCATCCAGTCCAATACTCTGTGTCACACAGTGGGCAAAACCCAGGGGCCATCAGGGGGTCTGCCAGTGGGGCCAGAACCCCAGAAGCCCTCCCCCTGTTGCCCCCCCCCCCCAAGCACCAAGAATACAGAGGATCGCTGCCCCAGAGAAAGTGTTCCATCTGTACCTTGTGGCTAATAGCCACTGATAGACCTCTGCTTCATATGTTCATCCTATCCCCTCTTGAAGCTTATGCTCGTAGCCTCCACCACTTCCTGCAGCATTTTAATTCACTGCCACAGGAAGTGGCGGCGGCTACAAGCATGGGCGGCTTCAAAGGGGAATTAGATAAGCATATGGAGCAGAGGTCCATCAGTGGCTATTAGCCACAAGGTATAGGTAGGGGCTCTGGGGCAAGTGATGCTCTGTCTTCTTGGTGCTTGGGGGGGGGGTCAACAGTGGGAGGGCTTCTTATGTCCTGGCCCCACTGGTGGACCTCCTGATGGCACTGGTATTTCTGGCCACTGTGTGACACAGAGTGTTGGACTGGATGGGCCTTTGGCCTGATCCAACATTGGCATCTCTTATGTTCTTAATTACTCTTTGGCTGAAGAGGTACTTCTTTTTATCTGTTTTAAGCCTTAATTTCACTGAGTGCCAACGAGTTATCGTATTGTGAGAAAGGGAGAAAAATACTTCCTTCTCTATCTTCCCCATCCGATGTGTAATTTTGTAAACCTCTATCATGCCCCCTCTCAATCGTCATTTCTCCAAGCTAACGAGCCCCAACCCTTTTAACCTTTCTTCATAGGGAAGGTGTTACACCCCCTTTTATCATTTTAGTTTCCCTTTTCTGCAACTAATTACACCATATTGAGTCAACCACTCCAGTACGCTTTGAGCGGTCTCTTATTTTCCAGTGTGTTCTTAGCCGGATTTCCTTCTGTTAGTCAAACATCAGGTCTCATTAATTCCCAAGGTCTTCAAGACAGCCAGCCAATTTGGGTTTTTTGAAGTAAACAACATACGTGAGAGGCGAGGAGCTGCATATGGTCACAACAGCAGCCTATTCGTCTCGGTGAACGCTCTTCAGGAGTGTGCCAAGAAAGCTTAATGGCGGTTAATAAGGCTCTACTGTAGAACTACAGTCAACGTGTACACAAAGACCCGAATACTGAGATTTAACCACTGGAAATGACGATTTGGAATGGCCGAACAAATGCATGTCTTGGTTGAAATGCAGACTAAAAAAGAAATAGGCTATATTTTTTTAATGGTTTAACAAAAAGATGGATTTAATCATTAAGGCCAATACATGAAAGCAGCTTAAAAGATGCGTAGGCGGGGTGGGCAGAATATATAAAAACTGCTAGTTCTGCGTGCCACGTCAAACACACAAAGGAACTATTCAAGAGGGCTTTTCTCTGCAGGTAACAGGGCCGCACCTGCCTTGGGGTCACTCAGGCTAGCCTGATCCCGTTAGAACTTGGAAGCTAAGCAGGGTTGGCCTTAGCTAGCATTTGGAGGGGAGACCTCCAAGGAATACAGCCTTGGCTGGGAGGGCGAGGTAGAAATTTGATAGATAAATACACAAATCTCCTGGAATGGCCCAGAGATCCCAGAAAGGATTGTTTGGCTGCCGAAGCTGTAGCTTTTTCTGGCACCACTAGGTGGCAAGCAATGCTTATTTGTAGACTGAGGGTGCTGTGATTTGCCTAAAGGCCACCCAGCTAGCTTCAAGTGGGGAAGTGGGGGATCGGACCCGGTTCTCCAGGTCAGAGTCTGCCGCTCTTAACCACTACACCAACCTGGCTCTCAGATGGGAGATGGAAGCCATTCTCAGCTTCCTAAGAGTGGGCGACACAGACACATTTTAAAAGAGTAACGATCGAAATGAAAAACTTCAAAAGCAGTCAGTTTTTCACCGAATACAACTTTCAGTCTCAGCGTTTCAGAATGACAGCGTTGGCACACCTGCAGGTCAAACATGATCAATGTTCCCTCTAAGCTGTGGAGTCTTGTGAGCAAAAATTCTACTTTGTGAGCTACTGGCATTAAAGTTGTGAGCGAGTGATTTGGCCACTGCATGAATTAGTTTGCTCTGGAGCCCCATCCTTCCCGAACGGAGACAAAGATGTGTGAGCCGGAGGCTAAAGAACTGTGAGCTAGCTCACACTAACTCAGCTTAGAGGGAACACTGAACATGATGCTTTCAGGGTTAAAGTAACAGCGCCAAACTACTGTGTATTCACAAGACCACATTCCTATGTCTAGTTCTTAACAGTCTCAGGGTTTCAGAATGACACTGTTGGCACGCCTGAGGGTCACATATAACGCTTTCAGGTTTAAAGTAACAGCGCCAAACTACTGCGTAGACCACATTCCATTGTCTAGTTCTTAACACTGCTTTCGCGTATTCGGTCTTCTACCTTATGTTTTTCCGTGTCTTCTTTTTCCTGGGCATCTCCTTCTCTCTTGAATTTCTTCGACTTCTTATTCAGACCTGATCGTAAATACAGTGCAAATAAGGAGGAGGATTGAAACATGCAAGGATAACTTTTCCCAGTGGGAGAATATAAGAAAGTGTGAGCTCCCCCCCCACTGCAACTTTCAACACCAGAGGCTCAAAGATGACTTCAGTGACCAAAACGGGACCTAAATCAAGCAACACATCTTCACGGAAAATTCCTCAACCACAAACTATCCAAGTCAAAATCAAGCAGAAGGAGGTGTTAAGGACCATGAAAACCTTCCCCAGCATTCTCTGAGAACTATTCGTAAGATCCAGCAATTGGGGCTTAGTACATGTTCCATGAAAAGCGCTACATAAATGCAATAACCGTTAGGCTAACTACCACGTTTTGGCCAGGTTCCAAGGTGGGATTCTACCTGTGTATGGGGGACTTTCAGCTCCCTTTTCCAGCACCAGCAGCCCCCACTACCCCCCCTCCGAAAGCACTACTAGAGTTCAGGGGCTCTCTAAACCAGCATCCTGTATGGCATGAGAGGCTGCAGTTCAAAGGAAACATCATACATAGAATCATAGAGTTGGAAGGGACCTCCAGGGTCATCTAGTCCAACCCCCTGCACAAGGCAGGAAATTCATAAATACCCCCCCACACACACCACAGTAACTGCTGTTCCACGCCCAGATAATGACAAAAAACCTCAAGGATCTTCAGCCAAACTGGCCTGGAGAAAAACTGCTTCCTGATCTCAACACGGCATGTAAGAAAGGGCCACGAGAACTAAGCACTGAGGCGACCCTTCCTGCCCTCCCTTCTCGTGATCTGCCTCAGTTCACAGAATCCGCATGGCTGTCCAGTGGCCACCTAGCCTCTGTATGAAAACCTCCAAGGAAGGAGAGCCCACCACCTCCCGAGGAAGCCTGTCCCACTGAGGAACCCCTCTAACTGTCAGGAAGTTCTTCCTAATGTCCAGCTGAAAACTCTTCCGAGTTAATTTCAACCCATGAAATTTCACTCCATAAAATTGCTGAGCGGTCGGGTTAGAACGGATAAGAGGAAGTACTTCTTCACCCAAAGAGTGATTAACACTTGGAATTCACTGCCACAGGAGGTGGTGGCGGCTACAAGCATGGACAGCTTCAAAAGGGAATTAGATAAGCATATGGAGCAGAGGTCCATCAGTGGCTATTAGCCACAAGGTATAGATAGGGACTCTGGGGGAAGTGATGCTCTGTCATCTTGGTGCTTGGGGGGGTCCACAGTGGGAGGGCTTCTAATGTCCTGGCCCCACTGGTGGACCTCCTGATGGCACTGGTATTTCTGGCCACTGTGTGATACAAAGTGTTGGACTGGATGGGCCTTTGGCCTGATCCAAGATTGGCGTCTCTTATGTTCTTATGCTCAACCCATTGGTTCTGGTCCGACCTTCTGGGGCAACAGAACACAACTCCGCACCACCCTCTACATGTCTGCTGTCCACTCTCACGTGTGGTGGGAGAAGGCAGGGTCACCGGATCTCAGTCATTGTCTAAGTGTACCAAGAGACTGGCTCCGAGCTGGACGACCCCGGCTAGCCCGATCTCGTTAGCTCTTGGAAGCTAAGCAGGGCCAGCCCTCGTCAGTGCTTGGATGGGGGACCACCAAGGAAGGCCAGGGTGGCTATGCAGAGGCAGACAGTGGCAAAACCGCTTCTGTTGGTCTCTGGCCTTGGAACTCCCATCAGGCATTGCCCTAAGTCGGCGGTGACTCAGTGGCACTTTCTTATATGTGTGTGCATGTGCACCTGGAAGTCATGGCGACCTCTGGTGAGACTGACCCCTACTGGGGGCCTGGAGAATATTCAGAGAGGGGGCTGAATGAAGCCTGCCTCCACCTCCCGACTGCTGGTATTCCAAGGAGGTCTCCCCACACCCAAGTCCTTGCCGGAGTCGATCCTGCTTAGCTTCTGAGATCTGACGAGATTGGTTTTGCCTGAGCTATCCGGGTCAGGGAAGGATTTTTTTTTTTAATGCAGCCAACTGTGGCCGATTTTTGTCATCCAAAATATTCCCAGAACTTTGGATTACTGTTAGTTTAACGACTGACAACAATTCCTGCATCTTGAGCACACAGAATCATAGAGCCACAAGGGTCGGAAGGGGCCACAGAGACCACCTAATCCAACCCCCTGCCCACTTGCAGGATCAGCCCAGAGCATCCCTGACAAGGGAAGAAGAAGAAGAGATTGGATTTACACCTCATGGCCCTTCACTACCCAAAGGTGTCTCAGGGTGGCTGACAAACTCCTTTCCCTTCCCCTCCCCACAACAGACACCCTGTGAGGTTGGTGGGGCTGAGAGAGCTCTTGACAGAAACTGCTCTTTTTCAAGAACAGCTCTTATCAGAACTACGGCTTGCCCAAGGTCATCCAGCCAGGTGGAAGTGGGGAATCAAACCCGGTTCTCCCAGATTAGAGTCCGCACACTTAACCACTACACCAAACTGGAGTCAGAGAGAAGCTCCCAGGTTCGCCAAAGAGAGATGTCTCATTTATTGAAGAAAAAGAAGAAGATATTGGATTTATACCCAGCCCTTCACTACCCATAGGTGTCGCAGAGCGGCTTACAAACTCCTTTCCCTTCCCCTCCCCACAACAGACACCCTGTGAGGGAGGTGGAGCTGAGAGAGCTCTTGACAGAAACTGCTCTTTTTCAAGGACAGCTCTTGCCAGAACTATGGCTTGCCCAAGGTCATCCAGCCAGGTGCAAGTGGAGGAGTGGGGAATCAAACCCAGTTCTCCCAGATTAGAGTCCGCACACTTAACCACTACACCAAACTGGACAAGTGTTTGTCCAGCCGCTGCTTCAAGACTGCAAGGGAGGGGGAGCTCACCACCTCCCTGGGCAGCTGATTCCACTGTCGCACAACTCTGACTGTCAAGAAGTTTTTTCCTAATACCCAGCCGGGTACCTTCCCGCCCTTCATTTAAACCCATTCTTGCAAGTCTTCTCCTCTGCTGCCAATGGGAACAGCTCCCTGCCCTCCTCCAAGTGACAGCCCTTCAGATACTTCCAAGACAGCAATCATGAAACAGCCTTATACTGATGTACAACCCTTGGTACATCAAGGTTGGAATAGACTGAGGTGGGCAGCCGGGTTGGTCTGAGTGTCAATAGAACAAAGTTTGAGTCCAATGGCACTCTTAAGACCAACAAAGTTTAATTCAGTTTAATTCACTGCCAGTTTGGTGCAGTGGTTAAGTGCGTGGACCCTAATCTGGGAGAACCGGGTTTGATTCCCCACTCCTCCACTTGCACCTGCTGATGTGACCTTGGGTCAGTCACAAGCTCTGTCAGAGCTGTCCTTGAAAAAGAGCAGTTTGTGTCAGAGCTCTCTCAGCCCCACCCACCTCACCGGGTGTCTGTTGTGGGAAGGGAAAGGAGTTTGTAAGCCGCTCTGAGACACCTTTGGTTAGTGAAGGGCGGGGTATAAATCCAATCTCTTCTTCTCTTCTTCTTCTGGGTAGAAGCTTTCTTTTGTCTTAAAGGCGCCAGGGGACTCAAACCTCGTTCAAGGTCAGTACTGTCACCCATGACTGGCAGCCGCTCTCTAGGGTTTCAGGCTGAAATCTTTCACAATACCTACTCCGGATTGCAAGACGAGATCTAATGGGTGGAAATGACAAGGGAGTCGTTACCGGCTAAATATCAGGAGAAAATTCCTAACTGTCAGAGTGGTTGAGCAGTGGAACAGACTGCCTCGGGAGGTGGTGGGTACTCCTTCGCTGGACGTTTTCAAGTGGAGGCTGGACGGCCATCTTTCGGGTATGTCGTAGGGCTATCTTTCGGCTATGCTCCTGCAGAGTGCAGGGGGTTGGACTAGATGACCTGCAAGGTCCCTTCCAATCCTAACATTCTATGATTCTTTGATTCTACTATCTCATCCTTTAAACTAGAGATGCCAGGGATTGAACTTGGGACCTTCTGCATGCTCTGCCACTCAGCAGCAGTGAATAAAGGACTAAATATTTCTACAAGTATTGTTCTAACAAAAATATTTTCCACATAAGGGTCTGAATTTGTTTGACCACTTAAAACACAGTTGAGTGGTTGTTGTTTTTCTTCCCTTCATCAAACGCTTCAGTTAAAAGTCGTCATTGCTATTGAGACGTGAAAAGTAATACGAGGCACTTTTAAAATTACTTTCCTAAAAACAAGTCAAAATAAACACGCTAAATCCAAGCACCTTCCCAGTTGGGAGAGTGGATAATTTTCCAGAAAATTTCCTCGTTCCGATTATTTGGAAAAATCTGTACCACTGATTTCCATCGAAAAGGCTGCTCAACAAATGGGAACTGGCCAGACGCCAGTAAAAAAAAAAAATTATACACAACCTAAAGTTGCCCGCGGGGCTCGAAACACAAAATTCAGTGTGTTTTTCCCAATGGGCTGGATCCTGTGGGAAAGATTCGTGCATGCGGGAGGGAAGTCAATTTCCTCCAGTTTCCCTCTGGTTTTCTGGGATCATTTGGGGGGTATTTCAGGCTCAGGATCCCGGGGGGGGGGGGGAAGTCACACTTCTGTGCGTGGAACTGAGACAGGATCCAACGAAGTCCATCCCTAAGTTGTCTAATACAAAGATTACATGGCCTTCTGTTACTCAGAGCAGCCCAGCCAATGACGTCGAAGCTCAGCCACTCAGCCAATGACGTCTAAGAGAGTTCTGCGACACCTGGAGGCCCATGAAAACATTGCAGCAGATCAGCCCATGGAAACGAGGGAGACAGTGCCAAACGATAGCGGAAAACGAGAGGGAACTTGGGAAAAGGAAGTTCCAACAACACTCATACCGAGTGCTTGCAAGCCATAAAGGGAGTGGCATATGAAACGAACACTAAGGCTATTTGGATGTTGTACTTTAAAATTTTAGTATGTTTTAACTTGTAACAGCCAATTACAATAAACTTGACTTGACACTTTCATAACTGGTCAGTCTCCCGCTTCTTATTTACAACACCCAATAGGGAATACAGTAACAGGTAACAGCTATGGGGGGG